AGTCCCTCTCTAGTGGCCTGTTTTTGCAGAAAACACATAAATATTTGGAAGCAAATAGCACTCTGATTTCTGTTGTGGACTTTTATGTGCCTTTGTATGGTATATTATATATTGTATTACGCAAATGGAGCACATTTCAAGATTGTGCTCATAAATATTGAATTGTTCAAAAATGTATGGAAATCACAAACAGCTGAAACAAGACTGGAGTCTATAGCCATGCTTAGTTTAACATGCTAACATTTGGTGCTAACACAAAGTAAATTGTATTAGCACCAAATGTCGCTAGCATGATGTCAAAAAACGTGCAAACCTTGTATGGTCAGTCATTAAGTCTCACTGCCAAACCAGCAGTGATGTATCATGTTAAAGTGATAAACTTAGTGGCATCAATCTCTTAGGGAAGAATATTGGTAAATGTCATTGGCAGTGTGGACCTAATTCTATTAGAAAGGTATTTGGGATTTCTTTCACTTTCTTTCTGTAAGAGAAAAATATATTTTTTCTGTTCACTATTTGAGCATTTCAAGGTAAAGAGTTCTGTTCTGGCTTAGTGAATGCACAGTATGTTACAAAATAGGATTTTAAATCTATGATCAAGCCTTAAAGGTTTGTTTTGACAGTGGCAGCCTAAATAAAAAAAACTCTCTAACTGGCAACTTCATTCCAAGTTTTCTCCATTTGACAGATATATAAACTCTTTCACCTTTGCCAAACTTTGCTCAGATTGTGTCATAACCATAAATATAACCTTGGTACTCAGTCAAAATGTAAAAGTAATCTGAACTAATTAATTTGAATTCCTTCCTTGTTGATCCTTTACACTCCTCAAAATATGCTCCTTTACATGCTCAGCTGTGTGTGCTCACAAGTTTATGATTCACAAATTGTCCAATTTTAACTGAAATTGAATGCATTATTTTAATCAGTTGATATCCCTAATACAAATGGATGTGAGTATAACAATGAAGAGTTGTGTAGTCCAATTAGTGCATTTCAAAATGTTGAGCTTGCTAATACTGTAGCATTTGTGTTGTCTCTTCTTACCACACCAAGCAATTTCTGTTGTCTTATTCATACCTTTCAAACATACTTTACCCACCAAAATCATCAAGTCAAACAAAAACCTCTTCCTCGATTAAGGATGATTGCATGAGGTAAGGCTGAACACGATAATGATGTTCAACCAGTCGCTGAAAAAGTAATTAAGTGAGCTCAGTGATGTTTTTATTTGAATGACTTTTTTAGTAGCAGGCAGGGACCAAGTAATCCTCCTTCAACCATTTTTCTATCTCAATTAACAATCTCTTCCAGAAGGATGCTTGGCTCCCCTAAGCACAAGTCAGAGTGACATTGAGAGTGTAACATCCACAATGAACGAGGTCACACTGCAGTGGGAAAGGCAGTGCTTTGCTCTCCTGCAACATCAACTTATATGGCAAATTATTTGTGTTTCGTTTACCCATTGTTGAAACAATTTGCTGGGGGGGGTTTCTCAATGGAAAAAAAAAGAAATTTTATAGGAGCACAAGTTAATCCTTGGCCATCGTTTTCCAAAATAGACATGAAGACTGAACCTGCCCCTCTATTGTTTGATGCAGCAGTTCCGCACACAGTCTCCAACACAACATGAATTTATCATACTAAAGAATACTGTCTGCACCAAAGCCTGATTAATATATCCTATTGTGCCGCACTGCTCTATCGTTGATGAATGAGCTGTTACTTTTGTGCTGTTCACCGGCTGGTTCAGAGTTCATCAGGAATGACTAGTGAAGAAAATGGCCGTAGGATCGATTCACAAATATTCTTAATTAATTCATCATTAAAGGACCAGTGTGTATAGGATTTAGTGGCATCTAGAGGGGATGTTGCAGATTGTATCTAACTGAACACCATGTCTGTATTTGACAGCTTATTGAGAGCCAGTGTTTGGATGGCCATTCTGGGCTACTGTAGAAACTACAGGTTCAACATGGCAGACTCCACGGAAGGCGACCTGTGGTGTCTGTAGATAAAAATTCTACGGTAACAAAAACACAACAATTCCTATATTCAGGTGCTTACACTATAAAATGTAATCAGGAACTACTCGTTAACTAACGGTTCACTATCAGTTCATTAGTTTTCACTTATTTCCAAGTAACTTCTCAAACTTTTGTGTCCCTAACTGTAAAGTGTCAGTGTGTTACTGCTTAATTTAGGGGAAGGGTTATGTATTTTTTCCTTTTACTAAAGTGAGCGTACATATATTTTTGGGACAGCTTGTGAGGGTCTTTTACAACTTTTCTTGCATATTGTATTTTATTCTCAGCTTGTGAAATCTGTTGTAAAAAAGGGGGAAAAGGAAAAGATAAAAATGCATTTCGCTGTTTTAGTTATATGTTACGTGTAGACATTAGTCAGTCTCTATTTATGCATGTTTCAATACTCCTGACACCATATTTTTGGAAACACTCTTGATGAATTGAATACAATCAGGTTCTTTCAACACGTAATAGCATAACCTATGTTTGTTTGTCATTTAAAATACGGAGATTTTATAGATTTTATGGATGTAATTACAGGGAGGATGGCAGGGACTCCCTGATTCCAGTGTTACCATGGTCTAAAAATGTGGAGACAGCCCTCCAAGATACTTGATAAAGGTGATCATGACACAGACACCACAACACCACCTTGACTTTTTACCCATAGTAAAGCTGTTGAAGAAGTGAAGATGAGAAAGAATCTTACTAAGGGTGAATATGACTAAAGCTGCTGGGCCTGATGACGTCCCTGTCCGTGTACTAAAAACCTGGGCCGACCAGCTGGCTGATGACATTACTGACATTTTTCTCTTATCACTGTCTCAGGAGAGTTTTCCCAACTCCTTCAAGACAGCCACCATCGTCCCTGTATCCAGAGTCTGCAGTGTCTAGTCTAACGACTACCGCCCAGTGGCACTCACCCTCATTCTGATAAAGTGCTCTGAGAAACTGGTTTTCCACCACATAAAGAATAACATACCTGGACCCTAACCAGTTTGTATTCAGAACCAACAGATCCACAAAGGATCACACCTTGAGAAAAACAGCACCCACATCAGAATGCTGTTTGTTGATTTCAGCTCAGCATTCAACACAATCTCCTCCGTGCTGGATATTGGACTTACTCACAGACAAACCCCAGACAATTCAGGTTGGCGGTCACACCGTCTCCATTCTAGTGCTCAGCACCGGAGCCCCTCAGGGCTGTGTGCTCAGCCCCTTCCTGTTCACGCCGCATACCCATGACTGCATCCCCCAACACGGATAGAACTTACTTTGTGAATTTTGGGGATGATACCGGCTTCATCCTCCAGATTTCAAGCAACAGTGAGTATTCATTTCAGGAGGAAATCAACATTCTTGCAGAGTGGTACACAGAAAACAACCTGCTCAACGTCAACAGACCCAGGCTGAATTTTATGAAAAGGAGGCAAAGACACACTCCCCCGTTTACATCATTGGAGCTGAGGTGGAGCAGGTGAACAGTTTTAGGTTCCTGGGAATTAACACAGAGAACCTTTCATGGTCAACTCACATCTCCACCCTAAGCTCAGAAATGAATGTATTTCTTACGGAAACTTAAGAAAGCAAACTTCCTGTGCCAAGTTCTTGTGAACTTTTACAGTGGTGTAATAGAAAGCATTCTGACTGGAAATATCACCCTGCTGCCATCTAGCTGGAGATACAGAAGTATCTGCTGCCGTACCACCACACAGAGCAGCTTCTTTCCACAAGCTGTGACACTCCTTCTCTGCACTCCACCATAAAAATGTTATCACATATTTATTCATCAATCTATATAGTTTTTGTTGTAAAGGGACTACAGCTTGTATTTTGTTGTACAACCCTATGTTGTAGCACTACATTAACCTTGAACCTTGAAAGATGATGATATTTTAAAGAATTAAACACATTAAACTAGCCAGCAGTCAAGGAACAGTTTGTTATTTCTTTTAGTGGAGCAGAGTGAATATGACAATGTAACAAAGTCATGTGTGTCTTTGAGATTAAATGACAATTCATGGGGAGTTCTTCTATACACCCCTAACCTCCACCTCATAGTCAGAGAGAGCCTCATTGTGCATGTGTATTATACTAAGTTGTGGTTTTGCTCAGGGTTTGTTTGCTTTGTAGTGCAACATAATACATTTGCAGAAAGTTCTAAAGTTGTTAAAAAGAAAAACATGAGGAACAACAGTTACAAACCAAGTCCAAATGCTTTTCTTTTCCCTAATATCTACAAATTGATCCCATATGTAAGTATTTTGTTGTCTTTGGAACCGAACAAGATCCCATGGTTCTCAAGTTACTTGTGTTGAGCACAGTGGTTATGGCATAACTTAAAATGTATTAAGGTTTAAATAAATAGCAAGGAACAATTATGGCCTGAAGTGTTGCTTTTATTGTGATAATTTTCACTGTTTAAATTAACTACTAAGTGTCATAAATAATAGCAAACAGCTGGTTATCACCAAGTATTAGGAGTTCTTATGACACATTTTCAAAAAAAACTGCACTTTGACAAAATCATGAGAGTCAAAACTTTAACTGCTGAGGCCTTACATAAAATAATATAACAATTCTGTGATCCACAATCAAAGCTGTAGTGCCATGACATTGGTGATTTCCTTACACTGAAATTGACTCTTACTGTAGCTACATTAAGCCTGCTTAAATTGTTGCTTTGTATATTTTCTTGTTATGTATTGTAGATCATATATTAACACAAATATATGACCTTTATTTTAGGATACATTTTGCAGTGTCTTCATCGGATGCATCGCTATGAACATTTACTGATAACTCAATAATTTAATGCAAATGGTCAATAACTCACATTCCTCTCACATACATACACATATACACTGTGTAATGTATGTCTGTATTGTCTGAGGTGTGGTGGTATCATTCTAAACATGTTGCATATTTGAGCTTTTCTTTGCATGAATAAATGTCTCAAGACTGAATATGTTGTGTGTATTGTGTTCACTATCAAACTTTTTAATATGAAGCTGGTCTCATGAATGGGACAAATCAAAGAATAGAGCTCTACCACCACTTACTGGGCAAACAGAGGTTGCTTGTAGAATTACAGTCATAAATGCAAGACAGAACACAGTTGATATATAGAAAAGCCGGCAGCTTGAATCAAAATGCAGACAAAAGAGACTTTTTACATTGTGTAGTGACATTTTTAACAATTTCATGCACACAACCGCCACCATTGACCACATATAACCTGTTTACTTCACACTGAATTACTTCACACACTATAATATAACAAGTGTGAGTGATGCACAGATATCTTTGGTGTATTATGGTGTCAGGTATTATTGCAGATGAGGTTTGACTTCTTGGAAACACAGATAAGTACTATAATGCACAATTTGTGCAATGAAATTGCAACGGTTGAGGACAACTGGTCCAAAAGTACAGCCTGTGTGGCTCAACAATTTGAATAAGGTACATTTATTGTTGATGTCTGTGCTAAGTTTGAGTTTAATGGATAACTGATCCAAAAAAAAAAAAAGATCCATATGCAAACTATTCAGATGACTTTAAAACATGTGTTAAAGTCCTGTTTCAGACCAATGTTATTCTAAGAACATTTCCAACAGCCTTGGAAACTAGACAAGACTCGCTTACAGTATACAGCACAACTTGACATTTGAACAACCTTCAAAAAAAGAAATCTGGAAAGAAATAAGAGCAACATGATATGGTTTCTGGCTACAGTGCTTAGCACTGCAAAACATGTAAAAAAATTATTTTCGAAATACTCCAATTGGAATTAAACATCCCCTAATAGTCAGAAATCAGTTGTGATGTAACGGCATATGAGAGTGTGATAAAAAATATATCATCTTCACCATCTGCACATTAAGCCGTGCAGATAAAACTCGACTGTACATCATCCACTTAATTATGTTTATACCAAGCATGCTCAACACATGATAGATTAAAGGAGGTGCAAAAGTTTGATGCAGAGGTGTACCACTGCAGCAGTGTTCATTTCTGAAGTGCTCATGACTTGCATGGTGTGTTACCAGCCAAAATAGTGATGATAGTAGTAGATGTGTGTGCTGCCCACTGATCATGATTTAGAACTTTTAAACTTATACTACTATCGCCAGTCTGCCCTCATGTACCTGTGTGTATGACTTTTATTGTGGTTTTGTTTAAATTTATGATTTATTTTATAGACGTATGTGGATTGTGAATCTTTTTTTTTATGTCTGTGCTTCTGCTCTGCATGTGTCATGTTAGTGTTGTCTTATTTAGTCCATATGATATTTCCTTTTGTTTTGTACGTGCTTTTGCATTATGGGCCTCTGTGTTTTAAAAAGTTACTGAAAATGCAAAATAAGGTTGTCCATAAGGATGTTTCAATTAACTTATTATTATTCAGCATTTTTATAAATTATATTAATAACTTTGCAAATTCAGTCTTAAATTCTCTTTTTTAGGATGACTTAAAAGGGACTACAGATGAAAAAAACTTCATGACTAATTTTACTGCTTTTTACAGGAGTGTTTTATCAATATGCACCGTCCCTGCTAAATATACCAAGAAATAAATTAAAATATTAATGAAGCGTCATTTGATGCAACAGAAGTCAGAAACACTTAGTGAGAATGTAGATAATAATTGGTATTTCAGTATAAACAGGCATACACATTTGTTCTTACACATATAGAAATACATGTCCCCACAGGAACAGGAAATGCAAGGCGGACCGATAAGTGTCATCTTTTAGAAGTCAGTTAAATGATAAGCTTCTATGTACAACACTTCCAGCAGCTTTTGAATACAAGCATGGCCCTTCATAGATCAGCCTGTAAAAACTGCACCTCATTAACCTTTATTGTACATGGTTGATGCATTTTGGCAGATCATGTTATCACACATAGGGCCTAAATTCCAGGGTCACTGTATATTTTGCTTTTATTCTCTTCATCTCTGTATCTCGACTAAGTCCAAGTCAGATTTTCACAATGGAAATGAAAAAAAATTAAAAGAAAACCAGTCCCACATCTTGGCAGAGAGAAAGTTCACTTTCATCAGGGCTGAACATAACAATTTAGCAAAATATTGAATGGAACAAATGACGCAAGCACCTAAAAACTTAGCATCCCTTTAGTCTTTACATGGTTTTGCTTGTACACAATAAAATACACATAATATAATTTAGCTTTTTCATTTGATCTCACTTGCATGTCCAGCAACAGCTCATTGTATATGACAGGTCGTTCTCATTAGTTTCAAGAATACATTGCAAAAGCTTATTTTAACCTCTGTAACCCTCAGAGTAAAAATTGTGTCAGAAAATAAAATAAAAATGATGCAAGAACATACCAAACGATGGAATCAGAGTAGCCTTACTTGTCCTAAAAACGTGGCATGTTTTGCTGAGCTACCTAGTGACTGTGCTGTAAGCCTATAAAAAAACTGAAAAGGGAAGGATAGGCTACTCTTTGGTCAATAAACCTTTTAACATACCTCTCTTTTTCAAACATCTCTATGAAGCCTTTGGTGAGTCCTCTTTTACACATATTTAGATTCTCATGGGATAGAATTATTCTTTCTGTTCATTAAAACAATGATATGTGAGAGTAATTTTGCATTTGATTTACTAACTAACTGGCAGTTAAGCATTTGTGCATCTTCAGCGCTACCACTTTAACCACTGTAAACGTTGTTCCTTGTCCATATCCTCAAAACATTTACAAGAAAAGTTTTTGCTTTTGTTGCCTTGATGTTTTCAGTTTCCTTGGTGTGGTAGATCACCCAGGGGAGTTGCCTGCTCAGTCTGTTGCGTGACCCAGTAAGGGTTAAATCTGTAGACAAGTGACACCTCACTTGGGGTATTTGACAAACTGACACTCACTGATACAGAGTGTCAAACTCAGCTTGTCAAATACACTAAGTGGGGGGCCTGATCTTGTAAAAAGATGGCTCTGTAGAATAAATGAACAAGACAACATGTAGCACTCCAAGCAAACATTATCAAAGACCTAGAAACATGCATATATTTCCCTTTTCACATAAAGAGATTGTTTTTGTACACAACATTTTAAATTAGGTTATATTAGATTGGATACCAATCGGTTACCTGGGTGTTCAGATCTGTTGATGTTGAGGCAGATGAGTCCGAGAGCAACACTCCTCTTTCCCTCACAAGAGTTCACAATGATGACACTGTGCACAAGACAATTCGTTTGACCACTGAGCTTCAGCGCTGCAAAGAGGAAGTCAAAACAAGGAAGATAACTGCAAAGCTAGCTCTCAGGAAATATGTGGAAATAAAGTGTCAACATGTCATGGTTGTGAAATGCTGTTGAAGGCTTTCGTGGCGCACAGCTTTTGAGATAATGGTTTTTGCTGAGACATATTCGACAGTTTTGTGGCATTCATGCATTCTCACTATTGTGCTCAGAAAGTGCTTATGGAACTGTATTTATAGAGGTTTATAATAATAAGAATCAAACAAGTAGCAACTTTATTGTATCAATAACAATTTCAGATCAGTCAGTGCAGCATGTAGATATATATATCTTTATATTTTAAGTAAGTTTAGGGTTACTTGATAAAGGTGTTAAAACTTTAAGATGAAATTAAGTACCAGTCTCCTTTATTAGTCTTTATCGCACTGTTCCTGATACAGTGTGACAGTGTCATTAATGACAATGTATTTTTGTATTTCTCTCCACTTTTGCACTATTAGCCATCACTGGCCATCATCTGCGCCCTTCTGCTTCAAGGACAAGCATCAGTGTTTAGTCTGCACTGCTGATTGGTGGTCTGTGAGTCGGTTTGATCCCACTCACGTGCAAAACAAGGGTCAGGGCAAAGAAAAAGACTACCAGCTGTTTCAAATGCCATCCCATGGAGAGCACCCAACAACTTCCTGTCAACTCACGTAACCAATACTCCCTGAAGAATTTTCATAATGTCTGGAACGTCTGGAAGTTATTACTGTATTGCAATTCTAGTTAGCATTACCCACATGTTTTTGCAACGACCAGAATGTACTAAGCATGGCGCTGTGTAACTTCCTCATGTTACTCTAGACCAATGCACTGTGAATCACTACTGGACTTCCCTCTACAGCTACAACTGTACTGTATGTTGAGCTTCCTTAATACACAAAGTGGCTGAACATTGAAACGCTGTATATACGAGCCTAATCCAAATGTTCCTCCAATCTCTTTTTAGCAGGAAACAGGGGAGGAAAAAAAGAGGCCGGCTGGGATAACTAGGAGAAGCTAAGTGGGGAAAAAAGACTTACACTGAACTTGATCTTAGGCAACAACTCCCACTACGGCTTTAGTGATGAGTGCAGTATGATATAATAACTGTACGATGCATCATCACTTTCCATCTCCACCATGCACTTTGAAAGCATCTATGACCCAACTTTACAGAGATCCTTGTCCAAATGCCCTCATCCAGTACCCTGACACAGCTCTGCACCTTCACTGCATGCTAAGGCCTACAACATATAGCATCATGTGACTCGTAGTTAATGCACATACTACCTACATCTGTAACGTGAAGCAAATGTTCCTGAAACATGTCGGTTAGGTATAGTATAGTATAATATGGTATAGTATAGTAGTGTATTTATACACACTTAAGATCTGTAAATAAAATAAATTTAGCAACGTCCACACAGCTGTTCAGAGCTGTACATTTTCTATGCTGTGAAGTAATCAGACAACCCCCTACCCTCTGAGAAATATGACTGAAGCAAGGGAATATATTTAAAGTTTCTCACAGTATGTGAAGTACACTGAAGTATGTACGATGACTTTTGTTCAAACAGAGAGACTCATGGCAGCTTATCGCTAAGTGGCAGTTCAGAGTGTGAATCATTTCAACACCCTTTTCAGGCCACCAGTACCACACATATAGGGGAAGTGGGAGATGAAAAAACACCTCCCTTTGGTGTTGAGAAAGAGATGGTTGATTTTCATCAATTTGTTCAACAAGAATTAACTGAACTTCCTGTTGCAAATAGCTGGAAATGTGTATGACTACCTTAACTTATTTGGTAAGAAATATATTAAGCTACCAAGACTAATTGAGTTAATGATATATGACATTTAGCTGCCACAGGTAGAAAAGAGAAGTGGTGTCCACATACTGTATATATATGTTATTTTCAGTTCTTACTTATTTAACACTATTAACAAAACTCTGTGGAAAGGTTTCTGAGCTGTGCACAGGCTTGTGACTGGAAATGTGCGCCTGTTTCAATAGAAAAGCCGGAAGCTGTCAACCTCTGCACACAGAGTCATAGGTTTTAAATTGCAAATCAAACAGAAAGTTTCTTATGTGCTTGCCTGTCAATCACTGAGTTTATTATATATTTAAGTTTTGAGTCTAAACCCTAAACGCTCCAATTTCAAAAATAGAGACATTTTCCAAGAGCAAACAATGCAACTATGGGAGGCGTTTCAGTGCATACTGTTCACCACGTTAAAATGTGTGCAGAAAAATAATTTGCTGAATAATTTTAAATACTTAGTGAGGGTCTGCGTGATTTTGGATGTCCTATATAGCCATGTTTCATTTCTGGTTTTCTACTCAACTTATTTTTTGTTTTCTAGAACTTGATTTGGTAAAATAAAGAAAATGGTGACCTCACAGTCACATTTCTTTGAATCTGTAAACAAAGTAGGCACAGATATATTTACTATCCATTAACGTAACCTTTATACTTATGACAATCCACACATCTTCATCGACGTGAATAAACTGACTTTCATTGTTCATTGTTGCCATGTCACCCTCACTGCAGGCTGAGTGTAAACTGCCACCATGTGGCTCATTGCGAGACTGCAGCTACAAGTACAACAGCAGGTGTGAATTACAGTTTGTTAATCATTGGCCAAAACTTAATCTGATGAGTATGATCACTCTAGTATACTGTAGAAATGTTGTCAACATATTAATGAATTGCATGTAAGCAAAGATAAACTGTTTTTTTACACTTATTGCAGAAACCATAGCAGCAGTAGTTATAATATAGTAACAGTAGTTGTGAAATACAGAGACTGACAGGAAATTTAAATACGGTTTAATCTGTTTTTTATTGATGAAAGGAAGACCTGAAGCAGCGAGATCTGATGGAAAACCTGGCCAAGGCACTGTCTGTCAATTTACACAATTACATTTCAGTCCTTTTTGATTCAAGACAAAATATTGAGTAGCATCTTTTAATAAATTTATTTTTCACACATGATGACTTGAGTTCAAATTACACTTGATTCTTAAAAGAAGGCTGTCAATACATGGTGCTTCAGGTAGAACATACAGTGCAGCATTAGAAAAGGTATTGTCAAAGGCATGTAAAGGTAACCAAAATAGCAACAACTGCATTTTTATCTTTCATGGCAAATACAAGAACTCTAGGCAGCAACGGGCAAGAATACTGTATATCAAAATCTTGGTACAAATGACAAATGATCATTCAATAACAGAAGTCAAAATAAAATAGAAAGAAATATGTATCACTAAAATACATTTACTTTGAACTTGCAAAATAGTGTAAATAAATCTTTCAAACTTAAATTTCTAAATATCTGAGAACAAGCAAAACCCTTCGCATGTCTGAATGGAAAAAGTAATCTGGAATAATGGCACACGAACGTACGTTTTGTTTGTTTTTATGCAAAATGTTTTGGCCTGGTTTAAAACTTCCATGCATGGTATATTGCCTGCTTTTAGCAGTATAAGATGAACAGAATTTCCTGTGGTCTGGCTTTTCATTGGTCCTAGAACAGGCTTTGGGGTGTTGCTTGTTCCATCAGCCTACTATCACAGCAGTGAGCTGTTCAATTAGTTTACAACAAAACACTATTTTAAAAATGTTGTTCTTTCTGAACAAAAACTGTTATCTTTGACAAGTACTTCTAGATTTTATTATACAAAAATATCCTAAGCGGTGTCTATCTTTAACCTTACATAATTGTATCACATCGGAAAAATCCAAATTACAAAATACACAAATGTCTTTAAATACACAGTATATCAAAAATGCATGCATTGGAAACGGTGCCCCTTGAGGACAGTAAATCTGTTCTGACTCATTTTGCAAACGCTGTGGTTTTCCAGTGCATGTTTAATTAAATTATTTTATTTTATGCATCAGGTTCTATGTAGATTTTGCCGATGACAATGGAGCATTTAAGATTAAACTACAACTTCTACCTTTACAGATGAATTTATCGGCCTTTGTTCACCAACAAAAGCCAACTTGACATGTGAGAATTACAGTGTAAATCCTTATGCTGTACTGGTTATATCAATGCTAAAAACCAAGAGAAAGAAAAACTGTATTTGATTATCAAACAACATCCTCAATGATGATCAGAGTTAAAAATTAAAAGCAGAGGAATAAAACTTAAAGGAACAGTAAAATCAACCTCAGATGTCCTGTCAGTCTTTTAATTGAATAATGATGACACTAACAATACAGCATTTTCTTTTGATTTTGCAGATACAATTTCAACCTAACTAATTCAGTGTATGTAGGCTAAAAAATGTCTAGCTAGTTATTAAAATGCTTCTCAGACACCAGATTTGCATAATTTTCAAAATGCTACTTTTATTCTTTTAGGACTTAAAGAGTATATCAAGTTCATTCATAGTTTACAATTCAGGATGTTTCTATGTAGATTTAAAAAGAAAGTCATTTGTTTCAGCCTTAACAGCAATGTTTACACTAAAGCCTTAGTAGTAAACTGATTTGAAGGTGTTCAGAAATTTAAAAACAGACAAAATATCTACATGAAATTGATCTTTCATATCACCCTGTAACTGAGGTGTAAATACTGATTCTGATTTGTAATGTACAGTTGGCTGTTTCTGAATACAGTCAAAATAAAAAGCAAAAAAATCGTACATTTACAAAAATAATACTGCTCTATTAACGCTCCACACAGACACTTCAGGGTCCTATCATATGTATTTGCTTATGTAGATTACAGTGCATTTGGCTTTAAAACTATGGGCAACGGATAATTAGAGAAACATCACTGTCTGAAAGATGCAGCTTGCTGTGAGGAACCGTTGCGTGTACAGCAGAAATATATCTACAAGAAAACTGAAATTTGGATTGGTCTCTGAGCCTTTGATTTTGAAATCATTATCTAAAAAATGTGACAAAAACATAAAGAAATTAAAAATGCTTACTCAATGTGTCATGAAATG